CGTCGTAGGCGTCGCGTTCGAGCAGCTGCAGGAGCTGAGCCTCGGTGACGTGCTGCTCGGGGAGGCCCGAACCGGGAGGCTGCAGGCCGAGCCGCGCGCTCGGCGAGCTCTGGGAGAGCGTCTGGAACAGCTCGGCGTTGCGAGCGGAGAGCTCGCGCAGATCGTTGACCGCGTTCGTGAGCGACTGCAGCGTCTCCCTGAGATCGCCGGTCGCCAGCTTGTTCAGGCCGGGCTCGACCGCCTCCTCAATGGTTTGCTGGAGGCCAGGCAGCATAGTGCCGTAGATCTGCTGGAACATGGATTGACAAGATCCCTGGACGACCGTGGTCGTGGCGGCGCTCACAAAGGTCAGCCGCACGTTCTCCGCTTCCATGAAAATATGATAAGCGGGCGGTGACGCCGCACCTGGAACGAGGGAATGATGGTCTCTTGGAACGACGAGCGGAAGCTGGCCTCCATGGCATGGCGCACGCTTCCCTGTTACACGCCGAACAACCATGGTGATCAGGACTAAGAGGGCCAAGACGGGAGGTCGAGGGCTCTGAGAGGGCTCACAGGGTACCTGCAGAGCATTGGCGATGTCGTTCGCCGAGGGGAGCCGAGAAGCCACCTCGGACGCGAGGCGGGGCGGCAGGTCCTGCGCCCAGGTGCCGTTGGTCTGGCCATGCGCGAGAACCGGCTTGAGGTCGTCCGCCAGGCTCTTGGCCAGGTTCTTCTCCAGGCTCGTGAGCAGGCGCCCGAGAGCAGGGACGAGCGCCGTCTGGAGCTCCTTCTGCACGGCCTTCTCGACCTGCTGGGGAATGCCAGTGAGCCCCGCATTGACGGCCTGCGTGACGGCAGCCAACAGGCGCTGCTGGCGCTCGCGCTCGGCCTTGTCGCGCTCCTGCCGATCCTTCTCGGCCTTGGCCACCTGGCGGTCGGCGTGCTGCTGCAGGGCGCGTTCCATCCTCGCGTTGATGCCGTTGAGCAGACTGTTCTCCATTCTTCGCAACTCGGCTTGGAGATTGCCTGCCGCTGGTGCAGCGGTGGACTCCACGGGCGCTGCCGTCGGCTCGCTGACCTCAGCGGGAGGGGCGCGGGCCAGGGGCTGCTGCGCGTTCGCGACGGCTTGGCCCGTCGCCTGGTAGGCACGGCCCTCGGCCTTCCCGGCCTTGGGCTTCTTCGGCTGCTTGCCGCGCCCTGCACATGATCACCTGTGTGAGTGTCGCTGCTTGCGCGCCAAGGCTCAAAAACATTGTAGCACGTCGTGCCTGATGGCGAGGCTCCCGATGGCTTGGAGACGGTGGGAGAGGGCACTGGCGCAGGAGGTTGGGCCAGTTCGCCGGGCGTCTTAAGCTGCGACTGCGGCATCTCGCCCTCGGCAGTGGTCGGAGCAGTTTCAGGAGTCGCGACAGCAGCCGGGGTAGGCTCCTCTTTTGCCTCGGGCTCGGGTTGGGGCTGCTCCTCGGCCTTCGGTGGCTGTTCCTCATCGACGAGGGCCTCCGCAGCCTCTTCCTTATTCTCGACGCCAGCACTCTCGGTTTCGGCGGGCTGGACCGGAAACTCGGGCACTTCGTCAGCGGGTGACGGGGTTGCTTCGGCTTCTCCTTCGCCCGCGGCTTCCTTCTCCTTCTCTTCAACGGGTGCGGCGGCGGACGTCTCAGCAGCAGGCTCTGTTTCGCCAGCGGCCTCGCCCTTCTCCACGGGTTGTTCGGGCTCCTCCGGCTTTGCGGTCACCTCGACATCGGTCGTGGCAGGCTCCGCGTGCCCGTTCTCCGCAGGTTCGGCGGGAGTCGCTGCGCTGGGCTTTTCTTCGGGCGCAGACGCGGGCGTTGGCTCGGGCTGGGCCTCGGAAGGCTGCGGCGCTGCGAGCTCGTCTTGAGCGCTGGGCGCCGGCGTAGGTTCAGGGGCGACCGCGGCAGGAGACGTCGGTCCGTTCTCAATCGATTGTTTGTCGTGCGTGGGCTCCGCCGCAGCAGCGGACGGCTCGACGACGGCGTTGGACGGGCTTTCCGGACGCGAAGGCTCGGCGACAGGAGCGGCTTGAGCGCTCGATTCGGCGCTCGTTGTCGAGGTGGGCGGAGAGGGCGCAGGTGAGGCAGCGAGCGGTTCCTTCGGGCTGGGCGAGGTCGAGCGCGACGTAGCAGCGGTCGCTGGGACGGTGGGAGCGCCACCTGATCCGGGAGGGGTTGGCAGAGCAGCCGAGGCGACGGCAGCAGCAGCCGGCGGTGCGGCGGTGGCAGCCGAAGGAGCCGCATAGCACAGATTCGATGTGATGTGGTACATCTGGATCGCCTTGGTCTGCAAGCAATAGAGATCCATTTCAGGCTCGGTTTCTGCATGGCGAGAGCAGTTGGTGCGAGGTGAGCAAACGGCTCAATTGAATGGTGTAAGTCCCTTAAGCACTCTGAGACGTACTGGAAGTGCCACGATTGAGGACAGTGAACGACAGAATGGCTTGGGCGACGGAGAATTCAGTGAGGTAATCAAACCTCGGCCTGCGCCATGAAAAAGCGAAGGTGAGACTCCGCGAAATGGTGATGATGCAAAGGCAAACCACTGCAGAAGAGAAGTGTGCGAGGGAATAGGTACTGAGGTTGCGTTTGGAGGTGGAGGACCATGAAGGTGGTGGATTTGGCGTTGGCCACAAAGAGGTAGTTGCCCGAGGATTCGAGAACGATGTGGTTGAAGATCGCTCCGCTGGGCGGCGGTGCGAATTTGATCCTCTGCAAGAGAACGGGCTCGGTGCCTTCGTCCTCGCTCAGCTGCCACACGCAGAGCTCGGCGTTGTGCTGGCCGCCGGTGATGAGGATCTTGCCCTCTTGGTGGTAGACGACACCCCAGGCCTCGTTTCTGCATATGCGCGAGTGTTAGCCCGCCAGTTGAGTACAGATGAGGGGCTGGGCAGCGAAATGGGGGCAAGGCAAGAGCGTGGAACGCACTCGTGGGCGAGCCAGGAGAGGCTGGGGGTGGGAGTGGCTCCACCGGAGGCCGACCAGATCTGGACGCGGCCATCGCTGGAGGCCGTGGCGAGCGCCTCGCCCCCGGGCGCAAAGGCCAGGTCGTTGATGGGCGCGCCCACAGCAATTCGGATTACACCGTCCACGGGTTCGGTGCCGGCGTACACGAATACGTTCTTGCCGTCTTCCGCAGTCTGCAGACGCGATCATCAGCCAAAGCGCAGGGAGGGGTAAAGTGATATGCAAAGCCTGACGCAAGCGAGTGGAGTGCGTTCGTACGTGTTTGAGCTGCCGAATGCGCTTGAGGTCCCACACATACGCGTGCTGATCGTTGCCGGCGGTGGCCAACAGGTGGGAGTGAACAGGATGCCAGATGATCCGCTCGCTCCACCGGTCGCCTTCCATACGCACCGCCGCCACAAGTTCGTGGCTACGGAAACAGGCAAAGACAAGTCAGGTCGGCGCGCTCACTCAGCGAAAGGGATGGCTCGTTGCAGAGAGATCGTTGCGAGATGGGGTACCCGATGCCCGCCTCCTCGTCGCCCGAGGACGGGGTGCTGGTGGCCTCCTCGGAGAAGCGCCACACAAGCAGGCGGCCGTCCGCAGCCACGCTTGCGAGAACGTCCTCGTTCCCTCCGCAGAAGCGAAGGTCGGTGATGCCCTTGGTGTGGCCGCGCAGAAGCGCTCTCTTGGCGCTAAAAATGTTGATGACTCGGATCATGTTGCCTGCGAGGCACGGCACGGGTTAGTTGTGGGGCACAAGATGGAAGGAGAAGCCGGAGCAACACACAACACGAGAGTGAGGCAAGAGGTACCCTTGACCACGTAGCAAATGTAGTTGTGGTTGACGGCGATGAGGCTGCCCCGCTGGTACACGGGTGGGGAGTTGAGAAGGGTGATGGGAGTCACCTCGAGCTGACTGTAAGCAGGCTGCTGTCCTTCCATTCGGTACGTCACCTCCACGCCGTCCGGCAGTCGCTCGCCCGAAGCAGCCCTAACATCGAATGGGTCGTGGATTCGCATTCAGCAAAGCGCGGAAAGAGAATTAGAGGGTTTGGCTCGGAGGGCAGGCGTACCGCTGCTGTTGTTGAGGCGCGGCCTTCTTGCGAGCAGGGGATGCATTACTGGTGGGCCTGGATGGAGCCGAGGCAACGCTGCTGTGGCGGGCAGGGCTCGCTGCTCGATGGTGCTGGACACTGGCCGAGGCAGGGCTGCTGGAGATGGGAGCGTGCATATGGGGGGCGGATAGGCCGGGAGGAGGAAGAGGGCTGGGAGAAGAGGGATGGCCGAGTGAAGGAGGAAGAGGGAGGATGGCACCCATGGGGTGTCCCCTAGGATCGCCCATCATGTGCATTTGATGCGGGCTGAACGCCATTTGAGGCGCATGAGCGGGATGCATGGGGTAGTGAGGATGGGGTGCGCCCATGTGGGACATCGCTGCGGGGTGAGCGAGTCCTGGATGTTGCTGTTGAGGATGAGGAGGGTGTTGCGACATGGCCGCGAGATGGGGGAAGAATTTGCTCAATGGCGACGGCTCACCCATTTTCCTTCGATTTTTTAACTAATTCGATGTTCTAGCTATGTACGATGCGAAATGCTGGCGTATCGCTGGCAAGCGCTGTGATCGATGGCAGAGTGTAAAACGTAAATGTGCGTTGTTCGCTTCGTTCTGTATTTGTTTCGTAAATTATTTTGTTGTGTTTGCCAAAAGTTGTGTGAAAAAAAACTTGCAGAGACCGGACCCGTTTGTTGGTTGATATCAACGTGTTCTATGCTATGTCTGTACATCGTGGCCATGAAGGAGGAAGCTTTGGAGCCTTAGCGGTAGGTGAGCCTGGTCTTGGTGCCCTGCTTCCTGAGGGTGCGGTTCTTGCCCTTGCCTCTCCTGTTCCTCCGGCCGCCGTTTTTGTTGCCGTTCTGTCGTTGCTGCTGCTGTTGGGCAGGACGGCTCTGTTGCGAACCGAGGCTCGATTCCTCCTCTTGTTGAGCCTCGTCCTCGCCCTCCTGTTCGTTGAGCTCTTCGTTCTGCTGGGCGTCGCTCTCGACAGGAACGACGGTGGCCGGCTCCTCGGCGCGCTGGGCGTCGGGAATGCTGGGCCGTTCGTCGACGACGTGGCCGCTCTCCAATGCCGCCATGTGAGGATTGTGCTCGACATCGGGACTCGGCTCGGTGGAGGACGAGGGCGAGCCATCGGTGATGTAGATCGTCACCTCGCCGCCGGTGGGCTCGGTCGACGACGCCTCGTCGTTGTGCAGCAGTCGCTGCTGCTCCTCCTGCAGGATCTTGATCTCGTCGGGGTGGATTGAGGGCCTCCGCTTGCTCTTCTGCTCTTCGATGCAGATCCGGCGACCGCCATCCACCGGCTCGCACACTTCGGGAATGGCTTCGAACTACATAGGAAGAGGGTCATCAGCATCAACGTCCACAATCACACCACGGCCGTTGAAAGGGTAAATACCTCGGCCTCAGTGTCGGCTTTCTCGTGGGTGTCTTCTTGCGGAGGCTGCTCGTCAAGACGCGCACACTTGGCATCGGGCGCCCCGTCGATCACGGCGCTGCCTTCGGTGGGCACTTCGGTGTCGTGCTCGGCGCCCTTTCGCTTGTGTGCGACGACGGCCGAGGACGAGGTGTCGGAAGGAAGGACGATCGGGAGCAGCGGCACCTTCACCGGCTCCGACGACGCGAAGAGGGTGAACGTCGGGACGGGACCCGTCGACGTGCGCTTCTTGTTACGCTTCGAGCCACTCCGGACCTTGCTGCTCACCTTCACCCGCTCGTTTGTGTCCGACGCCGCCGACGTCTGACTATTCACCGACGCGACACCGAGTCAATCTCAGACTCCACCATAGTAAATAATAATAATAAGATTAATAAAAATAAATACGCAAAGGTCGCAGGACAGGTGAGTACGCAGTGAACTGGGGAAGCTCCGAGGCTGTGGTGGCAAAGGGCGAAGAGACAGAGGCGATCTTGGGCAGCTCCGGCAGGGGCGACTGGAACGGGGCGCGACTAGCGGCGAGCGTGGCGAGCTCCTCCTGCGAGAGGCTCGCCATCGAGCGCACCCGCCGGCCGCCGGACTTGTCGATGGAGTCCGTGCTCCTGCTGTCGCTCCCGGGAATCATCCTTGCGTTGCGCGGAGGAGACGGGGGAGGAGGGAGGTCGAAAGACGGCAGGTTGGGCTTCTTGATCTGCTGCAGCTGTGCGTGCTGCAACTCTCCTTCCACGAACGCAGCCTGAATACCAATAAAAATAAAATAAAAATTCGAACGGAAAAGAATGCAGATGAGATACAGGACACTAGCCAATAAGAGACAAAGAGGCAGCTGGTTGCTCACCAAGGTCATCTGGGGCGTCTTGGGCTGGAGTTCGGGGGCGATGGCCGAGGCAACGTCCTGAATCGCATCCGTGATCGCACGCAAGCCGTAGGTGGACAACTGCAGATGTCGGCACAAACACGTACGTTGTGGTCAGTGATGCGCGGCAACGAAGGCGAAGGAAAAGGAGTGAGAGGTACCTCGCCGTTGAACGGCTGCGGAGGGCAGGAGAGAGGGCGGATCAGGCCACCGTTGGACGGCCGACCGGTGGCGGGTATCACCGCAGGTGCGGGTGCCGGCTGGGCGGTGGCCTACGACCTGGCTCACTGCCGCCGGCACCGGGTCGTTCTGGCCGACGGCGGCGGTTTGCTCGTTGGTCTGCTTGGCGGACTTCCTGAGGCTCTTCTTCCTCTCCTTACGCTCTTTCCTTTCCCTCTTCTTCTCCTCCTTGGTCTTCTTGATCGTGCTGCCCTTCTCCTTGTGGTGCTCCTCGACGGCCTGGATGTTGGCGTCGCTGTCTTCCTCCTTGGCCTTGTTGGCGTTGCTGTGGTTGTCGTGATCGGCTTCGTCTTCAGCCTCGTAGAGATGCCCCTTCGAGGCCGACTTGGTGAGCTCGTACTTCTTGCTGCGGCGCAGCAGGTGCTCGACCTTGTTCTTCTTCTTCGCCTTGCTCTTGCTTTCAGCATCCTCGCTGTACGTCTTGCTCTTGCCCACCTCTTCGTCCTCGTCGTGTTGGTCGATGTCCTCCGTGCCCAGCATGTTCTTCATGTGCTTCTTCGCGTCGTCGCCATGACCGCGTCCCTGCTCCACGCGCACCTCGACCTCCTCATGCGGGCCGACGGCGTTGTGTTCGGTCTCCTCCTCGTCCTTGTGCTTATCGCCCTTTCGCTTGAGCTTGGTCGTCAAGCGCTTGAACATGCCCTTGACTCCCTTCTCCGACGGCTTGGCAGCGGCGATGGTGCTCATGCTGTGTATCTGTATCTGAATTGCAGACAAGCAACTTGAGGGTGAGAAGAGGTACCACACGACAGCACTATCAGCACAGAGAGGCATGGAACGCACAGGTGGAGTTTAGCTCCGACAAAGTTGGTTCGACGAAGTGTATCTAGTTCCGTATGAGGGTGTATAAGCACGAGCAAGGCGGCGTTGGGTTGATATATTGATGCAGGAGCTGGGTCGAATCGAGTCGTGCTGCGACGAGACTAGAGTGGTTTGATGGTGGTGAGTAGAATGAAAAAAGAGACAGACGTGGCGAGGGACGAGCTTAAAACATAGAGGGAGGTCAGTACCGTCAAGAATAACCTCAAGAATGGAGGGTTTTGGGAGAGAACTCCCAGAGCAGGTGGTCATCACGCGGGACGTTGCACAGAGGAGGCAGACAGCGCGAGGCAGATAGAAATGGCAGGAAGCCAGGACTTTCGCCAGTGCGTCTTTTCCCGCAGTTCTCCGCCCAATATTTGCAGCCACATTTAAATGTCGACACAACACTATTGCAGGTTCGAGTCCCACGTGCAACAAGACCACAGCATACACACACATTGGCGCCCACCAACATGCACACAAGGAGAAGAGGGACAGAGACGAGACCATAAAAAACGTTTATACATGCTACACACATAGCATACAGGTAAAGAAGAAGAGAACAGAGAACAGGAGGAAGGGGAATAGAGGGAGGAAAACAAAAACGTAGCTTTGATAGTGGGCGACCGCACTGCCTTCCCTTCTAGATGGCCTTCCGCTCTTCACCGGTGTTCTTCCTGACCGGAGTCGTTGGGCCTCTCGACTTAACCTGAAGGCGAAGACGGTGGTCGTGGGTAAGCTGGTCAACTGCGCCATGAAGAGCTAGCTGATCAGGGCGCGCACCTGTGTGACCATTGCGGCCTTTTCCCTTTCGTTGAGGAGCCTGAACTTGCCCTCAAGCTGCCTCGTGTACTCGTCCATGAGCATTACCGTCCTCTCCAGCTCATCAACGCTCTTCTCGATCGTGTCGATCTGCTGGAGGTAGGGTTGGAACGACACATCTGTTCGGTGGTGTGCCGATCGCCACGTGTGTCAGCTCAGCGCGTGTTTGCGCGTAGTGCCGGCAGCGTTGCGGCGGATTGTACATTTCTTCTGGAGCTCTTCCATGAAGAGCACCAGGTCGGTGGCCTGATCGGTCATGGCCTTGTACTTCTCGGTGGTGACATGGTTCATCTGCTCCAGCAGCTTGTAGTCACTACTCGTCACTACGGACAGAGGGGCAGTGAACAAAGGAAAATAAACATCTAAATAATAAATAAATACAATCATCCAGGTGGGCTTACCCAGAAGTTCTCCTTGAATGTATTCAGAGATGTTCTTGAACATGGCTTCCGTGTTGCGTATGAGCTCCTTTTGATTCGCTGCTTCGACCTGGGCGCCATCTCTCAATTTAGATTGTGATACAAAAGGAATTTAATGCTGCATCAATTCCAGTGTACCTTCATCACTCCCTGCGAGCTGGACGACTTGTAGTCGGTCGACCCAGTTCCCTCCTCTTCTGGCGCTGGGCCGGTTGCGGCGATCGGCTTGTCCATCTTCGTAGCAAAGAAATAAATCTGCGCACCAGAGAAAAGAACATAAATAAAACATTTGATCGAGTAAGCACATCATGAAGAGGCGGAGGAAGATCGTGGATGAAGAAGGAGAAGAGGAGAGGGAGGCCACGCAGAAAAAGGGGCAAAAGAAGAAAAAGAAGACATCCAAACCAAGAGGGGCACCAAAAGGACAGCCGATTGCTTACGAGACGCTGTGCTTCTATATCGACACCATAGAGCAACAAATCCCGTACGCTCGAGCGATTCGATCACAGCCAACGCACTGCTGATCTGATCAATGTGCAGGAAGGTGTTGCGCAAGGTGCCCAGCAGTGACAGAGATGCAGCAGACGAGGCGCTGCGTGAGGTAGTTGAGCGTGTGAGCGAGCAGTTGAACCACCAGTTGGTGCGGCCGTCGAAGAGGATCGACTATGCCAACCTGGCCGACGCCACGGTGCACCCCCCACCACACATGCGCCGGCTGATGCTGTGCTCTTGCTCACGGGCACGAGACGTTCCAGAAACGGCTGGAGTCCGCCATCACAGCCAACACGCTCCTCCTGGCACGGCTCACTGCCGAAGTCGAGAACAAGCAAAGGTGCACCTTCATCCAGCTCTCTTGTGGCCATCACGGCGTGAGCTTATGCTCGTGTCATGCCCAAACCGCGCAGTGACCTGAAAGAAGAGAAACAGAGGCTGGCACGGCTGCAGGAAGAAGCTGAGAAGATCGAAAGGAAGCGAGCAATACTCCAGAAGAAGAGAAAGGTGCGTTCCACCCTCTGTGCTTCGCGTTCAGGTCAAACGATTATTGCTACGCGTGGACATTCACCCCCCCCCCACGACACGACACGACACACGACACACACACAACGGACGATGCGTGCAGTTGAACCCTACGGAAGACTTGTTCGGCGAGAAGCGAGATTATGTGCATCCGCTGCTCGGGCCAGACTCGCATCTCATGGCCACTTCGGTGCAGCTCACCGAGGTGGCCATTGACCCCGAACAGCTGGTCGAAACCGTCAACCAAGAGGGCGAGTCAATGTCAACGCCAAAGGGAAAGGAGAAGGAGGGAGAAGACCAAGATCTGCTGGAGGTCGATGTCGTGCAGGGCCTCGTGGACGACTTGGCCGTGCTCGCGCAGAACAGGGCTCCGCTGCTGCCGCTGCTCGAGGACCTCACCGCCACACGCGACCGTCTCTGCGCCATGCTCGCAGGCGCTGGCGCCAGCACCGGAGTCGAGCCCCTCCACTTTCTCACTCCACCACCGCCATCTTCATCATCGTCTTCCGCCTCACCATCGTGACGTCGAAGCAGAGTGGATGAAAATATGTGGGCCCTCTCCTGTACATTGGATGATGATGCATCACGCACACATCAGCAAACAACAATGTTATGATTGTTATAGCGATCCCTCCCTCACTTCGAGCGACGGCGAGCGCTTCGTCTTCGCCCACTTCTCCTTGAACGCCCTCTCCATCTGGCACTCTCGGTAGCCGACGTAGCCACCCAGCAGCATCCCCACAGCTCCCGTCACTTCTCGTACCACGCGCACAACACAACCGGACACGCAACGCGATGTCGCGACACGAAGAAGTGAGCGTCACAGGATAGGGAGCGGGGGGTGACGAGATGCGGGCGTACCGATGGGCAGTTGGTAGATTTGTCGTGCAGTGAGCCCCGTGCTGGGATTATTCAATTTCTCTGTGATGTATTGGATTAAATTGATGAAATGACGAAAAGAGGAGAGATGGAGCTTGAGATGAAGGGCAAGCGATGAAAGCAAAGAAGCCAGGGGGGGTACGGTTGAGGTTGAGGAGAACGTTGAGCAGCAGGGGTAGTGGCGCACGGCGGAGGTTGCCCACAGTGCCCAAGATGAAGAATGCCACTCCGCCCACTGCCGTCGACGTGAACAGCTGCCACGGCGAGCATGCACCTGCCTGCTCCTCCATCTTTAGTGCGAGTCGGAGCTCGTTTGCTTTTTGATCCTTTATTTTCCTCGAATTTCTCTCGCGTGTGGGTCGTGTGTGCGGTCGGACGTATGTGCATTCACAGGAAAGAGCATGACAACAACCACTGCGAAGTGAAAAGGAATGGCTCAGTGCTCGAAGCAGGCCTTGAAGGAAGCCCAGAGCTCCTCTCGATCCAGGTTTCGCCCGATGAAGACCAGTCGGTTCTCCCTCTTCTCGTTCTTGGCCCACTTGCCGATCTGGCTCCCCTCAAACTGCGCCGCAACGCAGCACCCGCACACATTCCAAAGAGAGCAGCGTATCAGCTGTGTGCGGGGATTATGAAGGGAAAGAGGGTGGTCAGCCGCACCATCATGTGAACGCCGTGGAAAACGAACTTCTCCTTCCACCCCTTGACGGCGATGACGCCCTTCATGCGGAAGATGTCGTTGCCCTTGGTCCGCAGCGTCTTCCCCAGCCAGGAGTTGATCTTGTCCATGTCCGCCTCGCCCTGGTCGCCATGATGGAGACGATCAGTTTAAGAGAGCTCTTCAACCACCACCACGACTAGCCATCATCATGCAAGATGGGGGTACGCACCTCGATGGTCAGGCCGACACTGGAGACGGACTGGTCGTGCTGGTGCTCCTGGTCGAGAAGGAACTGCGGGTCCATGTCCTGCGCGTGACTCCAGTGAGCGAGTGGCAAGTTGTCGGTGAGCGTGTGAGCGGCTGGGCACGGTGGCGCGTACGAGGATCTTGTCGAGGTCAAAGGCCTTGATGTTGAGAATCTTGGCGAGGTCGACCACGCCCTTGTTCACGGGAATGATCTCCACGGCGGCGTTGATCTGCGCCAGCCGCTTCCTGACCGCCTGCTCGCACTCGGCGTCGACCAGGTCCAGCTTCGACAGCAGGATCCTGTCAGCGAAGCCCACCTGCTCAACCGACTCATTTTCCACACCTGTGTGCGTGCTGTGAGCATCGATGCAGAAGGGAAGTGAGTGACACACCACATGCATACCGTCGGGCTTGACCTCGTCGAGATGCTGGAGGATGTGCTTGGCATCGACGACGGTGATGATTCCGTCCAGCACGAACTGGAGGCTCAGCTTGGGGTCCATGAAGAAGGTCTGCGCGATCGGCGCGGGATCCGCCAGGCCCGTAGTCTCGATCAGCACATAGTCGAACTTGTCCTTTTGCTGTTCGCAACCACAAAAATGAAAGAAGAAAGAAAGAAAATGTGAGTCACCACTTAATTGGCCCAACCCAGCTCGTTGAGAGGCCGAGGCCGAGGTGGGCTCACCTTGACGAGCTCGCGCAGGATGCGGATCAGATCACCGCGCACGGTGCAGCAAATGCAACCGTTGTTCATCTGGAAGATCTCCTCGTTGGCGGCGAACTTGTCCTGCAGGAGCGAATCGTCGATTCCCACCTCTGTGCGCGCCAGCCGAGCTCTGGTGAGTACCGCCCTTGGATCGGTGCACGCTCAACAAGTAGCATAGTTTACCTCCGAACTCATTTTCAATCACCGCGATCCGCTTGCCGTGGTTGGCGTTCAGTATGTAGTTGAGGAGCGTTGTCTTGCCTGTGAAGCGCGAACGACGGTGAGACGAGTCTGCACCCACTTTTTTGGGGGGAGGTGCGGCGGCGTTGCAGAAATGTACCGCTGCCAAGGAATCCGGTGATGATGCCGACGGGAATGCGCTTGTCCTTCGGGTAGTCAATCTTCTCTTCGATGGAACGCGCGTAGCCGAGGATGTTCGTCGCCAGCGAATCCACCACGCCCAACGCACTTTCCACGGCTGCATGTCTGAGTTAGCCTCGGTTGTGTGGTGTGTCGTGTGCAGTGTATGTGTGTCGTGTTGGCCTCGTTGTGTGTGTGTGTGTGTGTGCGTGCGTGCGTGCGTGCGTGCGTGCGTGTGGAACGCACCTTCCTTGAGGGAGTGCAGGTTGACGATGCGGATGAGGTTGGAGGTCTGTTTCTTGAGGGCCTCCCACAGCGGCAAAAGCGGGCGGTAGTAGGGCGACTCTTTGTTTTCCTCGAAAAAGGCGTTGAGCACCTTCACCCTCTCGACGGCCTGCGCCGTGAGCTTCCTGAACTGCAGCTCGCTCCTGTCCTGACCGAGGAACTACCGAAACCCCACACCTCATTGGTCAGAATTTAAGTGCTGCGCCCAATGGGATGCGCGATTGAGCACCTCGTCGCCGGCCATCTCGGTCAGATAGGCAACTAGCTCAGTGAGCGGTTCGCCTGGTGAAAAAGAGAGAAAGCGTCAGTCGCGCCGGGCGTGTGGGGGGGAGGCTTCGCTCTTTGGGTGGACGGGCGGCGTGTACCGATGGCGTCGACCTTGGAGCTCTGCAGTTCTTCCTCGGGCTCCTCCCAGATGGGCAACTCGGCCTGCTCCTTGGCTTGCATTCTGTGTGTGTGTGTGTGTGTGAGCGATGTTGGCGTAGAATCACAACTGTAAAGAGGCGCTCGCGAGTTATCTCAACACCCACCGGTCCACCGTTTCTTTGGTATTCTTTTTCTTGGCCTTTCCCGTTTCATCACCTTCATCGCCTTCACCTTCGGCCTCCCCCATCTTCCGCTTTTTGCTTTCCTCGGCCGCAGCAGCCGCGAGCATGGTCAGTACCTTCTTGCGTTGAGCTTGGTAGGAGGATGTTGGTTGAGGGAGCGGCTGGTCGGGTCCGCGGAGCTAATTGGGAGAACCAGAAAGGCAGAAAGAGAAGTAAAAGGCGCCACACACGATCGTTTTTATGGGAGTCGAGGAAGTGCCCGATTACGGCGAGAGAACGAAGCGAAGGCTAGGTGGCTTACGAAGCGACGAAATCGAGCGAGAACGATCCCTTCTTCAACCAAGGGGCATCTGTCCTAAGAATGCAGAGTTGAGCGGAAGTGCATACCGAAAATCGTGCGAGAAAGGCCAGAACCAACTACGAAGTGGCTTTCTGTCGAAGCAAGTCGGACGCAGCTGGCGTTGTGGGCCTGCCAAACACACACACCATCAAGAAATGACGAGTGCCACGGCGAGGAGGTGTTGAATATGCGACGGTGGCCACCGTCTCTCTTCGATGTACTCGGACGCGCATGCAGATTACATCTTGGGGGTCTGGTACTCGATGATCACGCACTTGGGCGCGGTGTACTGCGCGAGAGCGTACTCCGACATGTCCCTCCCGTGGCCGCTCTGCTTGAAGCCGCCTGCGTGTGCGGTGGTGCATCGTGTGTCGTGTGCGGTTTCGCAAAGACGGTGAGCAACAAGCAACGAGAGGGAGTAAGTAGACACGTACCCCAGGGGGTCTGCGGGGTGATGACGTTGTAGGTGTTGACCCACACGGTGCCGGCCTTGAGCTTCTTCGAGAGGAACATCGCCTTCTCCACGTCGCGCGTGTAGACGGCCGCCACCAGACCGTAGATCGAGTCGTTGGCGCGCCTCACCACCTGAGGTGCAAGCAACGCGTTAGCAGTGTTGTGCTGTGCCGCAAACTGGCCAACAGGTACCTCATGGACATCCTTGAACTTGATGATCGCCATCACAGGACCTATGAGTGAGAAGAAGAAGAAGAAGAAGAAGAAAGAGTTGGGTGGTTGGGCCAAGCCTAGTAACATGGTTGATGGCGAGGCAACGTACCAAAGATTTCCTCGCGGCAGATGGTCATGTTGTCCTCCACATCGGCGAACACGGTAGGCTGGATGAAGTATCTGCGACGCACATCACGGCACACGGTCAGCTTAAACCAAACGCGCGCAGTGGTGTGTGTGGAGAGGTTACCCCTTGTCGCCGACTCGAGCACCGCCGCACAGCAGGCGAGCACCCTCCTTCTTGCCGGTCTCGATATAGCCCATCACCTTGTCAAACTGCAGCTTGGACACCTGCGGACCATGCATGGTCGTGTCCAGCAGCGGGTTTCCGGTCTGCTCGATGCGAGCCTTGGCCTGCGTGATGTGTGATTGTAGTGTTAGTCCCCCAACTCGGCGCAATTGTGGGCTGTATGAACCATGGCAACGCTCTTCTCCACAAACTCGTCGTAGATCTTCTCGTGCACGAATATACGCGAGCCGGCACTGCAGCACTGACCAGCATTCCAAAACCTGCGAACGCGCGTGTGGCATTGTGTGGCCAAGTGAATATAAAACGAAAGCTGCATAGAGAGTGAAAGAACTAAACGTGTGGCGTACAGAGCGTAGTAGGAGTCGGTGATGGCCTTCTCCATGTTGATGACGTCATCAAACACAATGATGGGGCTCTTGCCGCCGAGCTCGAGACCCACGGGCTTGAGGTTGGACGCCGCCGAGAGCTCCATCACCTTCCTTCCCGTGAAGGTCGAGCCCGTAAAGCTCACCTGCCGCGTGCACGCGCCACACATAAACACCAACCATGTAAGTACTAGGGCAGCTGTTGCCGGCTTGAGTCGTGGTGGTGCAACTGATGCGTGCATGCGTGCCTTATCGATGTCCATGTGCGCGGCAATGGCGGCGCCGGCCTTGGGTCCGAATCCGGTGATGACATTGACCACACCAGCAGGGAAGCCAGCCTTCTTGACGAGCTCAGCGAGCTTCAGGGCGGTGATGGAAGTCTGCTCCGCCGGCTGTTGTTACATCGATGAGCAACGTGTGAGTTTTCTTTCTTTGCCCGAGCCCATCACAACCTGGTGGCAGCACCTTCAAGATCACAGTGTTGCCCGCGGCAAGGGCAGGGGCCAGCTTCCAGGCGGTGATCTGCAGCGGGAAGTTCCACGGCACTGCACACATCAAGGAAGGAGGGCAGAGAGGAAAGAGCCAGTGTAAGAGGAGGTGCTCGTTGCTACAGTGTGTGTGTGTGTGTGTATGTGTGGGAGGGGCAGGGTGTCAGGCGGATACCGATGAGGCCGACCACGCCGAGGGGCTCGTGGCGGGTGTAGCAGACATTGTTGCCGGGGATGTCGATCGACTTGCCGTGAATCTTGTCCGCCCAGCCCTTTGTTCAACAGGTCAAGGAGAGAACACGCCATACAGAGCTCGGGAGGGGGGGGGCAAGAGCGAATGCGAAAGCGAGAGATATCGGATGGTGCGTGCGCAGTGGTGAAGGTTGTGGGGGAGGGTGAAAAGGATACGGCAAAGTAGCGGTAGGTGTCGACCACCTGCTTGAGGTCAAAGTTGAACGACTCAAAGAACGGCTTGCCCACGTCAAGGGACTCTGTTCGTTCGCGGCAAGGAGGCGGGACGATTAAGAGTTACGTTGAGAACTGCAAAATGGGTGCCCAGAACGTGCAGCAAGCGGCTTCACGCAGCGCTACGTATCACGTGCGCGGCGCACGTATAGAGAGAGAGAGAGAGAGAGGTACCCAAAAGGGCCAGGGCCTCCTTCTCCTGGTCGATGAGCTCGGCCAGTCGGTAGAGCAGATCGCCGCGCTGCTTGCTCGACAGCTCCGACCACTCGCCTGGTCCAGCCATCACACGCGCTTGTTTCAAAAACAAAATGCTCCGCACAACCACAGCGCTGTTAATGGTACCTTCTTCAAAAGCAAAACGAGCCGCAGCGACGGCCCTGTCCACATCCTCCTTGTCTCCTGCAACCACGAACAGAAATAATAATTGTTAAATGTATTATAACATTATTTCAATTATTATAATTATTTATTTGAAAAAAGTAATAGATTGGGCTTGGGGGTGCCTTCAGCGAGCTGGCAGATCTCCTGCTCGGTGGCGGGGTCAATGGCGGCGAAGGTCTTGCCGGAGACGCTCTCCACGAATTCGTTGTTGATGAACAATCGAGTCGGAAAGCTAATCGCTTTTCCGTTGAGGGTGACAGTCTGCAAAGAGCGAAGATTAAGGTCAACCGCCGCTGGTGAAAGCACAGTTCAACGGCAGAAGGTGGATACGTGGGCAGCAGAGGAAGCGTCCATGTTAGTTTCAGAAGATGCAAACGACAAAGAACGGCGACCAAGAAAAGAAAGAAAAATAGCAACAAGTCCGTATCGGCGTGACGACAACCTCGCCTGTTGCATTCATCTGATGGTCGCGTACGCCGGCATCCCTTCACAAACCTGGCAAGCAACTGCAGGCAAATGGAGGAGTGCACAGGGCACGGGGCAGGCTGACAAAGCGGCCGATTGACTAAAACTTTATCTTTGTGGGTTGCGCGAGCCACTCTCCCTCGGCAATGGGCAGCCGTTCGAACTGGCGAGCAAGCAGAGGAAGCTTCTCCAGGCTCACCTGCAGCGAGTACGTCCTGCCACGTTCCACGCCAACAACCACAGACACAACGTAAATAACAAAAAATGAAAGATGAAACCGCAACACAAGGTACATTTCTGTGAGTTCGGACATGGCTCGCTCCATGCCCAGAAGGACGTCCTCCGTACGGAGTATGGTGCGTTCAAACGCTACGAACTCCTTTGCAGTTTTCACCAGTTCCTACACAAGGCGGTGCGGACCCGGCACTGTCAACATTATCGTTCGCAGGGGGGGGGTTGAGGGCAGCGCACCTCGTGTTGGTGCGATCCATCCAAAAGAAGTTTGGCAGCCTTGCCGCAGTCATAGATTATGTTCTCTAGTCGCCGCGTCTCCTCCTCCTTGGTGGCCAGAGAGGGATCCGCAGCGTCCATCTTCAAACTCTCGCTTCTTCCCTCCTTTTCCTTTCTGTTTTCTCGCAGGTGTCGACAAACAGATCGCGCAGCTCTCCTTCCTCCGAATTTTCGCACTCGAAATGCGGAGATGGCGCGGTTTCGGCGGAATTCAGCCCTTGTGCCGGAAGGGCGATTTCTGCGGCGGGTTTCGGCGTAATTTCGCTGTGTCCGCTCGCCAGCGAGGGCCAGCTCAGCTTCTCTGGTGAAACTCGGGTGGTGGCGATGTAGAGCCTCGCCGAAGCTCACCCCAGGCCGGCCGAGTGTGCTCTCCCCCGTGTTCTCGGGGTGCCTGTGGTATATATTACCTCTCCCTACTGCCCCTTATCCTCTTCATAACCTCAATTCAAGAAGCTCACACCTCAACCAACAGCCTAGGACCCCAGTGCCACTTTCCGTCTCTCCTTCTCAACTCCTACCCCATTCTCACTCCCTTCTTCATCAAGCTTCCCTCCTCTTCTTCCACATCTACACACACAAACAATGGGTTTCGGCGCCGACTGCTCGAGTGTGACTCCTTCCCGGAGCACATCGCCTTCAACTTCACCCCGCACCTCGCTCGACTTCACCTCTGCCAGCGAGGACCGAAGCAGCGGCGACTGGACCCAGAACGACGACATCTTCAGCCTTGGCGACTACCTCATCTGCACCCGACACCTGCTGGGCCGTGGATCTTTCGGTGAGGTCAAGCTGGGCTTCCACCGCCCCACCGGCCGGCGAGTAGCGGTGAAGATCATCAACAAGGCGCAGCTCAGCCCCGAGAAGAGGCAGGAGGTCGACCGTGAGATCGAAATTCTGAAGAAGGTGGGCATCCACCCGTGCATCGTTTCCCTCCACGACGTGGCCGAGGACGAGTCCTTCATCTACATGTTCTTCGAGTACGTCGCCAGCGACCTCCTCCGATTCCTCAAGCAGCACGGCCGCCTCGACGAGCCTGTCGTCTACCGCATCTTCTCTCAGCTCGTCGAGGCCGTCTCGTACCTCCATGCCAACGGCATCGTCCACAGGGACATCAAGATCGAGGTACGTCGCCGATCTGGAGTGCATTCCTCAACCTTTTATGGAATACACCTCGAATAGGTCACTAATGTCCTTTTCGGTTAATATGTCTGTAACAGAACATCCTCATAGATGAAGCGTCGCTCTCGGTCAAGCTGTGCGACTTCGGCTTCGCCACCTACTACACGCCCACGACGCGCTTCGAGAAGTGGTGCGGCAGCCCGCACACCGTGGCGCCCGAGATCATCCAGCGAATCCCCTACTCCGGCCCCAAGGTCGACGTGTGGTCGCTCGGCTCGGTCCTGTACACTATGATTTGCGCCTTCTTCCCCTTCCAAGCTACCGTTCCCAAGGACGTGCTCAAGAGGACCGTACTCGGCAAGTTTCACGCTTTCCCCGGCGGCTGTGGCTCGCGTGCCACCCACGACCTTATCTCGAGGTGCCTCACGATCGATACTGGTACGTAGCGCTGCCTCATACCCTCGTGCCATGGCCCTCTTGCAGAAAACGTAGGACTCATCACGGTGCCTTCGTCCATGCAGAAAAGAGAATCACACTCGATCACGTGCGCCAGCACCCCTTCTTCTGGAAGCACGAGAAGATCGGGGCGGAGGCTGTAACGGTCGAGGAGAACGAGTCGGGCGAAGAGGGAACCGTCGAGTGGAGCGACTCCATGGACGTGATGACCTGCTGATGATCCAACCAACTCCGCACGCAGCTGACCGCCAACGGCAGGAACGAACCAGAGTGTACAGAGCAGCCAATTTTGAAGGGGCGGTGAAAGGGCAAGAGTTGGAGCAGCGGGAGTGGACGAACGAGTGGGAGCCATAGAGTATGGCCTCGCACTCAGGCGAGCAAGCGGTCTACCGTCTCAGCAGCGAGACTATGTATGCCCCACAGATTGGGGTTTCTTTTTGTGTGTGTGTGTCAAGTCAAGAGTGATTTCCCACCCACCACACTTTGTGCAGCACACCTAAGAGCGCTACGCTCGGCTTCCGTTGCCTCTCTTCTGGGGCAGTGGGGGTGGTACGCTCCGATCGTGTGTACTTATATGAATAAGTACCTGAGCCTTTGCCTCCTGCTCACCATTGCAATGGCATTGGAGAAGGTGGACGGAACGGAATGGAGAACAACTCGAAATGACCTCTTTTGCTGTCTGTTTGACAAGTTACTACGAAACGAGCGTCGATAAGGTCAATTCCCACAACGGACCGGTAAGGTAATTGAGGCCCCTTTCCGACGACGCCAAGGCCAAGGCCCAGGCTGTGTCGTTGCGTTACACTTCTTTTCTTGTCCACCTTACCACAGCAACACAACACCTTCTTGCCACATATCACGCAATAACTGCGTCTGCACCGCCCAAAGGGCCTCATCGTTACCCAACGCACCAGATCGACATACCAACCACTAAATCCCCTCGCTCAGAAGTGTAATCATTTTGTCAATCCACCCAACCAACAACACCAGCAACCGCCCCCACGGACACCACC